AAATCATGCCTGGTACTATAAATCCAACCAGATTTCCAGGACTAGTGAAGTCATGGGCCTTAGAAAAGAGTCTACTACCACCATTTCAGGCCAGCCTATACTCCCTTAGTATATTCCAAGTCTTATCATTATACCTGCAGATAGTAGCTGACACCCTTCTCCGTAAGAGCTTCTCTTCACAGCAATGGAGACCACTGCAAGAAATAATGACATAATGCAGAAATCCCTGGGCCATGAGGGGCCCAGCCCCAGTGGATACATCCATATCCCAGCTCTGCTTTTGTGGCTCAGGGGGCGACGTCTCTGAAGAGGGGTCAGAAAGAATGTAAGAGTTGGAGGGAGGACACCTGAGAGAGGGGGGGAAAGATCAAAGGGAAGGGGAAAACAATACAGTTCTATTTTAATTAAAATCTATAAAAAAGTCTGGGAAACAGAAACTTCATTCAGTGGCTGATGGAAGAAGAGGCAGACTCCAATGGCTAAGCACTGAGCTGAACTCAAGAAAGCCAGTAACAGAGAGGGAGGGCTGATGACCAAAGGGATTAAGACTAGGCTGGTTTAACCCCCAGAAACAGCTGACCTGACAAAGGTTAACTCTTGAATCCCAGGCATCAGCCTGGGAATCCAGCATGGGACTGATCAAGACCCCCTGAATGCGGGTGTCAGTGAGGAGGCCTAGGTAATCTATTGAGCCTTGGGCAGCAGATCAGTACCCATCCCGAGTATACACACAGACTTTGGACTCCCATCCAACAATGTAAGATGCACTCTCACCCTGAACTCTTGGGGAAGGGTCTAGGCCCTGCCCTGGATGAAATGACAGACTATGGACACCCCCAAGGAGGGCCTCACCCTCCCTGGGGAAATGAGGGGATAATGAGGGGGCACAGGAGGAGGGGAGGGAAAGGGAGAGGGACCTGGAGCTGACTTGTGAAGCAACCTTGTTACTAATGTAAATTTAAACTTAAAAATAAATAATAAAAAAAATCTATAAAATTTAATTAAAAAGCAAAATGAAATGCACTGTTTGAGTTCTGCTTTTGATTGGTCTTTCACAACAGAGGTCATCTCTTTTATCTCTTCTACATTTTCCATTGTCAGAAACCCTTCACAAATATTTGCCAAAACTGAAATCAATAATAAATTTCCAATGCACATGGCTTTAAAATACCCAGCTTCCAAATTATCATCATACAATGAAGATGTAATCCTCCCTTTCCCTGTTTAGATGATGTCTCCATCCTGAATATTATCCTTTCTCTAGTTACAAAATACTTCACATTATTTAAACAAAAATGTCACTCTTCTTCTCTTTGTTATTTTTTTCTTCTTTTTCTCTCCCTGACTCCCTCCCTCCCTCCTTCTCTCCTTCCTCCCTCCCTCCCTTCCTTCCTCCCTCCCTTCCTTCCTTCCTTCCTTCCTTCCTTCCTTCCCTCCCTCCCTCTCTTCCTTTCTAACAACTGAATTTTTTGTTTGTTTTTCAAGATAGGGTTTCTCTGTGTATCCCTGGATATCCTGAAACTCACTCTGCAGACCAGGTTGGCCTTGAACTCATAGAGATCCACCTGCCTCTGCCTCCTGAGTGCTGGGATTAAAGGCGTGTGCCACCACCACTCACAACTGAACTCTTGATCATCCTCTGTCATCATGCCAAGTGCCAGGATTAAGTGTGTTACAGTACCTGGCTATCTTTTGATCTTTATGTTCATCAGTTACTTAATAGGTATCACTTGGAGAAAAGGGAGTGTGCCTTTTCATCAATTGCCTTGTGGCTAAGGTTCTTTGACCAGAATAGGTAAACGTATAATTTAATATAAACTAAATGGAATTATTTGTTCTTGTGCTAGTATAGACAAGTGGAATTTCATATCCAACCTAATATTATAATCTCTTAACTGACTTCCAGCCCCCATACTTTCAATCTTTGAATTGCTGTCTGAATTATTTCCATACACTTTAGTTGAGTTTGAAGTCTAATGCTCGCACAATAAAATCTTAACCTTTAGGATTCAAAGCCCTCCACCTCCTACACTAGACTTCTACGGTCATATTGCACCCTACCCTTAACGTTGCATGTTGACCATTCTGGGTCATGGATCAAAAATGGTTAATGCCAGGCCTTTATTTCTTGATGTGGCCTTAGACTACCTCTTTTGTCCTGTTGGTCACAGAAGAACTTGCTAAGTTGTTATCATCACATTGAGTAACTCCAAGATGCTCCTTAGCCAAGAATTATCAACAATTACAGAAAACTCACCTGGCTGCCACTGACAAAAGTGGCTGCATACGTCAAAAGGTATCTGCGCCAGACCTGTCAAAGTTTACCTTTCAATATTGGTAATACTCTCTATAATTCAGCTGTGATTTTGGGCTAACTTAGGAAAATAGTGCCCGACACAGGGCAGGCTCCTCATGCCCACATTGACCAGACTCACAGTGCTTTTGTATGTGGCATTCTTCTAATGGAAGTTTACCACCTCTGCCTCTTCTCACTCCCCAACCCCAAAGTCTGATCAAATACTATGATCAGACTGCACAAGAGTACCCCAAAAGTCTTTCCTATTAAGTTTTGGGTAATTTCATGGAAAATTAAGTGTTGCCTCGCTGTGCTCACATGACATAAAAACAACGTTCTATTTATTTCAGTGTGACTGTGTGAAATGACTATATTTTGAAACATCCTTGGCACTAAAATGCATAATGAAAAATTACCAAAATGAATGGACTGTGGGTCCTAAGTATTTGAACTGTGGGAAACTAGAACAGTAAGCTGCACTTATTTGCGGAGGTATGTGGTCTCTAATCTCAAATCTGTTTCAGTTTGTTCCACACAAGAGGACACAGAAAATATCATCTCAATAAAGCTTAAGCTTTCATAAGGCAGAACATATGATTTATTTATTATTTATTTTTGTTACTGGCTTTTCTTTCTACCAAAGGTCAAATGTCATGGGGAACATGCCTAGTTAAAAATATTTATTGATTGTCAAATGAAAAAGTTCTGAAAATACTTACAGCCACTTGAGCTGGTGGACTTTTCAAATCTTGCCCTTTTTAAAAGCTAGGTACAGCGAACTATGCCTGTAGTTCCACCTACTTCAGAGGCTGATATAGGAGAATAATTTGAGCCTAGGAGTTTAGGACTAGCCTGGGAACTATAATCTGATCTCTTCTTTAAACAAACAACTGAGCAAGCAAAATAAAAAATAAATAATAAAAAAATCCCCAGTAAAATTTGTATTTATCTTTCTGTGTATTGATAGATTATTTTTTAATCTCACTAATTTCCATACAGGTTCTTCTAAAGTTCATCTGTCCATCCATCCATCCATCCACCCATCCATCCATCCATCCATCCATCCATCCATCCATCTGTCCATCCACACATCCGTCCGTCCATCCATCCATCCATCCATCATCTGCCATCCAGTCTGCTCACATTGTTTATACCAATTTCTGGGAATCAGCAGAGAACAGAAAAACAGGATTTTCACTTGTGTTCTCCACAGTCTACCTGAAGATAAAATTAACAAATAATTATGAAAAGTAGCAAGAGATACCTTTATTAAGTACCCTAAATTGTAGGACCTGGTGCTGTGACAACGTCTAAAAAGGGATGTGGTCTCGGTAAAGGAGGTCAAAATCTACTTCTCTGGGAAGTGGCAATTGCGTTGAGTAAGAGCTAAAATTACACCGTGCAGAGAGGAACTACTAGATGGAAAGGTTCCCTGGGGCTGAGGGGCATAGCATCTTCAAACAAATGGAAGAAGGCCAGCATGGCTGGTGCAGGGAATTGTGTACAAGGTTGAAACGTAAGAGGAAGTCAGCCCTGCAGGGCTAGGCTATATTAGGGATGTTACTTTCATCCTACTGTTGAGGAGACCTGTCAGGGGCTCATAAATGATGGGAGACAAGATCAGGCTTGTGTGTTGAAGGCAGGAGATGCAGGACAAGTCTGAGCTTTTTGTAGTGACCAAGAGTGAAGAGGGAAATGTATTAGGTGTGGGAGATGAGCAGAGAGAGGCGGGTCCATTGCAATCATGGTGGCATCTTCCATCAGAGTGGGAACTGAGGGGAAGCCCTACAGAGCATGAGGTAAAGTAAATAGGGCTTGGTGGCAACATGGATTTTTTTTTTTTTGCTAGCTAAAGCCTCTATAAGTGAAGAGCTATCCAGACCTGACGCATTTGTGCTGTATCCCATGACGGCGTCACTGTTTCAGTGAATTCAGATCTCACTCATGCAGTCAGAACTCACTCTGCATCTGTTGCATGTCACTCTGGCTGCTGGTGATCCACAGATGAGCAGTTGCCCCTCCCTTACTTGTGCTTGTTCCAGACATCTGGTTAAAGATGTGAATTAGAGTAGCCACAAAGAAGCATTTGAAATACTGTGGGCCGTTATCCTTGGGCAAATCAGAAAAGCAAAACAACAAACAAAACAACCCACCTGTTACTGTTTCACATTCCTAAAGTAGCCCTTATTATGTATGGGTACCAGGGAGAAAAATGGGTACACTTCGGGTCACAAAGCTATGGGATGCCATTACTTGGGCTCAGATCTTCCAATTTCAAGGTGAGAGTGGCCCCTGTCTCCTCCCATTTACTACTCCCCACAACCCCAGATTGAAAATTTGCCTCAGAAAGGAAAGGGAATTCCCTAACTAGCCATAAGAAAGGTCTTTCTCAGGTAGAATCCATTCCTGCATTTATCCCAAGCTTGCTTTCTTCAGTGATACCTAAGGATTATTAGCCAAATGAAGGCAGGAGATTGCAGGACAAGTCTGAGCTTTTTGTAGTGATCCATCACAAAAGAAATAATGATCAGGTGTGTGTCTTGCCCATGCCAGCCCTGTGTAGGTGTCTGGAACCAAGAATGAAACAGGCAGGCCCAAGGCCTACACACATTTTCTTGAACTTTTTTCTTAGGCTGCTTGGTCACATAACGTCCAAGCTCTCTTACTACCCATTTTTAACTGGTCCTTAACACACAGGTCAATATTCTTTATTTCTTTTTATTTTATTAAATAACAAGTTTAACTTTCACAATGAGCAGGCCTAGGGATGTGATCTGATTTTCTTAAGACTACATAATGTCTATAGTTTCATCTTCCTTGAAGCAACCATTTCTCATTCTAAGGGCTGTCAGCTCTCAGTGGACTGGTACAATAATCAACCCATGGTCATCTCTTTACTAGAAAGCTGTTTTCTTTTATATCGGTCATATTTCCAATTACTGAAATCAAACAACAGAGTCACATCTGGACTTCCAAATGTTCAATGACATTATTTATCAAAATAAATTTATTAAAAGTATTCAAAAACCACTTCAAAGTTTAGCTGCCTGCAAGACAGTTTTTGGCACTCATAACAGACACCAGATTTCTAGAGAACAGCACTCATGTCATCTTACACCCCATTCAACAATGCACGCATACTCTTCAGTTTCAGTGATACATGACACAATAGTACTAACCACCTGTAGTCCTAAGAACCTCAACACCCTTGCACACAGTAAACATTTTAATGTCACTTAGTACTGAAATATTAAAACTAGAAGTAAAACCACTACGTGGTAACAATGGACTGATTTAGGGAAAGATGTACAGCCAGCTAGCTAAGGCCACATAATCCCAGACCTATTGATTTTAAATGTTCCGACCAACAACATTCCTTCGTGTCTTTCATTTCAGACCCCTGCTTTCCCAGCGAGGAACAGCACACTCAGAGCACGGTTCCCTCCCTCTGTTCTTCACACAGCGAGGGAAGCTGTTGCCACACAGAGCCTGTCCTAGGTCGCTGGCTTCCTGATTCACTACCCAACGTTGAATCAATAGTTCTGAGTGATGTTTCCTAACACCCAGGCTGAATTCAAGGTCAGTCTCTTGGCAGGTCATAGCCTTTTGTCTCGGGAGACAATGAAATGTCCTCTGTTGGGGGCACCTGGCCTCATGTAGCATGGGGCTCCGTTGTGATCTGTGGCTTTTTACACAAGTCCTGGTAGAACTCTGACTCCAAGAAGCGAGGGTAAGAATTATTCTCCATCAAGCTGTACACCCTCTTCTGGGCTGTGGTAAAGCAGCCACTTGTAGCCTCTTGGATATTTTGGGCAATCAGCGTTTTTGTTTGAAAGTCTATGTTTATCTGAAAACGAAAATTAAAAAAAGCTTTATTTATTTGGTATATAATATTATAAATGGGTACTTATTAACAAAACACAAAAGATGTAATGTGTGATCAGTTTTCCCCGTCAGCTTTGGAAAAACTGAAATGCTAGGACAGCTGGGGTCTGAGCCACTCACAGCTCTTCCCACTGGCACTTTAATTGGTGTATTCAATTCTTGTGTTTCACTATGGGGTTGAAGATGTCCAGATTGTGCTGACATGAATAATTTGTTTTCTTACCTCTTTGGGAGCTTCCTTCTCTATGAAGTCAGTATATATTTTCCTTGCTTTGGAGGACAGTTTTTGGGGTGACTTGGTTTTTTTGAAGTCTTCACAAGCCAACCAGAATTCAATATTTTCTTCACAGAACTCAGATTTTAAAAATGCCCTGAATGCTGCAAGCCCATCTGAAAGCACAGGAAAACAAGCATGCAGAATGTAAACTGAGTGACCAGTTAACACATGGTTCTTCTGGTACTAGGATAATCAGCTTTCTAAGTTTTACTCAAACCTGCCATTCTCACAATTTAGCTCTTTAAGTACTAAGTTGCCATCAGGCAAAATGCTTAAGTGTGCATTCTGCAACAAAAAATATACTTAACTTCACTGTCAATGTAAAATAAATATTTATAGGACAGCCATCCATTAGTTCTCTGGGAACTGGGGCTTTTGAAAATATTCTATGCAATGGAAAATCTGACTCAACCCTAACCGTGAGTACGTCATTTTACTTTTTAGGCTAATTTTTCTTCCCCACCTGAAGTGAATACCTCATGCTTTTCCATGATTAAACTGGAGGAAGAAGGGAAAGACAAGGCAGGCTTTATGCAGTAAGTAGTGCTAATGCCCTATGCACTTCCTGCAAGCTGCTCATTTCTAGGCTCTTGGGATGCTGGTAAAAGATCAAATTCAAGAGGTGAACTTACATTTACTGGCCAGCAGTTCATCGAATGCTTCTGCCCAGAGCAGCGCTTCCTCGGGAGAAGGTCTGCAAGAGAAGTTCCGAACATGAGCTACATATACATACTACACGTAACCGTTCCCCTTTCCCGTTCCATGGCTAGACATTCTGCTCTGTAGCTACAGGATTTGCAACTCACTTGATAAAAGTTTGCTGTTTGCTTTTCTTGCCAGTTTTGGGTTTCCCAGGGGTGGAGGAATTTTGTAAGAAGTAGCTCAAACGGGTCTTCCAATCCTTCAAGCTAGAAAAGAAAAAAGAGAGAAAAATACTTCAAGCAGCAATTCTTGAATAGTGAAATTATCCCCGGTTGCAGTGGCATAAGGACAGTCATCAAACAAACCAGACAGGCAAGAACAATCCATGTCATCCGAGGAACATTTAAACCGAGCACCTCATGGATTGAACACAGCATAGGACTCCATAACATAGCTAGGGTATTTACAATTTTTACAAGTTATTTATTTCTGACCTACAGAAATGGTAGCAGTTTTTCTGCATGGTTAACTACAACTTGGAGATATTTGACGATTGAGAACTGCAGTGGAAGGGTGTCGAGCCAGCTGATGCCTCTTTTCTGTGCTCCAGGCAGGAGGGTATGGACCACGACACAGGCAGTGCATAGAGGTGTGAGTGTGTGTGTGTGTGTGTGTGTGTGTGTGTGTGTGTGTGTGTGTGACGGATTCCCGAGCTCTCCTCCGCGACCTCCCACAGTGCTTCTCCGCAGCAGATACTGCAGAGCAAATTACTCATCCCACAGTCGTGACGGGGTAAGACCTACTTTACGATTTAAAACCGTATCTAAAGCGAATACATTCAGAATCATCCCAAACATGACCCAGCAGCTGTGTAAGCAGCTCGGAACTCACAATGGAATGTGGAATGTATGGGCGCTGCCGACCCTATCCAGCTGCGGGATTCTTATGTCACATTAAATGCAGAACAAAAAGCCAACCAGCGCCGTCTCAGCCCATCTACCGCCGCCACCTTCCTAACAACTTCCCACAGTTCCTCAACTCTCTACGATCACACAGGAAAGAAAGCACAACCACGAGATCTAGCAAGCTGAATTTTCCTCTCTCCACCTCTCCTCTCTGCAGAGGTGCAGACTGGAGTTAGCTCAAGTCAAAGCCGAGATCGAAGGAAGGTCGGTCCCGAGCAGCAAAGCCAGGCGGGATAAGGGCTTTCAGGGAGAGAGGGCATACTCACAGCGTCCGCTTCATTTTCTCCCGCTTCTCCTCGACCTTGGGGCCGTTGCCTGCGCTCTTGTCCATGGGTACGCAGTCGTGCTGGACAGCCAGGAACATGGCACTTTGCGTACTCTGACTCGACTCTGGCGACCACCGCAGCTGTTAGCAGCCGGGCGCGCGTCGCGGCCTTTTAAGGCCGGCTGCGGTGCCGGGGCGGGACATGGAGGCGGCGGCCCCGCCCTCCGAGGGCGCGGATTGGTCCGCTGCGGACGGCGCGAGGGCGGGGCCGCGCGGGCCTGAGGCTGTCACGGCAGCAGGCGAAGGGTCTGGAAGCCAGGGCGCTGTTGACGTAGGTGCCGCAGCCTCGTGCGCACACAGGCGGGGAGGCGGCGGGCGGGGACCGAGCGGGATCCCTACTCGCTTGCTCGGGTGGCTCCAGCCGAGTAGTTCCCGAGTTCGTGACTTTACCTTAAGACCGTACCTTTTCCCTTCCTTTCCTTCTCTCTCTTTTTGAGCCCCGCCTTTGCAACTCATCTATTGTTCACGCTCTTATAAGATTCACCCGGACACCTATAAACTGCAGCGGGGATGGGGAGAGCCCTACCGGCCCCACACACGCTCCACCTATTTCGGGGAAGGACATAAACAACTAGAGAACCCTGAAACAAGGGCATCTGAGCTAAGTACTGTGATTCTCTGCTGTTCGCCCAGGCATCCTTAAGGGAATGCACGCTGGTCAGGGAGGAAGAAGGAGAACGTGCCTATGAATCCCCCCCCTTTTAAAAAATGGTTCTGCATTTTTGATCTTTAAATGCATGGCTGCAGCAAGCTGTGACGCTGCAGGGTCATTCCTCAGGAGAATCTGAAGGGCGTCTCCAGCCGGGCACAACACAGATCCGAGTGATAGCGAGAAACACAAAGGGAAACCCAAGATATTGCAGCTCTGATACACCCGGATCATTGGTAGTTTCCGAGTGTAAGGAATCAGGATTTCCTAATGAGTCATTCTTAGTTGGGCAGGCTTAGAATTTACCAGAAGTTCACTTGCTTAAATTAAGGGGTGGGGGTGTGGGGCTAGAGCTGGATATGAGACTGGGGAGGTGTTTGCTTGGACAAGCTTCGTTTGTCAATTCTTCAGAAACCCCGCAGGTTTTAAAGTGCCCTGATTTGTAAGAACAAATACACGTGACTTCAACTACAAACGGATTCAGCCTCCTGTGTTACCAGAGTGGTGCGGCGGAATACCTAAGTGGTTTTCCCATCAAGTCGGGCCAGATAGATTAGCAACAAAGTATGGTTTGGGCTCCAGTTATTCGGCTTTACATTAGGCTTTCTAAAAGAAAAATAGAGGCACATTCCTCAAACTGGGAACCAGGCAATACATTGTTACAAGCTGCGGGTAGTCTGAAGTCGCTGATGAAGAAAATAGGGATAGCCTTCACTACAAAAGGACTATCATTTTGATTTTAGTAACGAATGCTTGAAAGCATGTTTATAAATCTGTGAGATGGAATTTTTAATAAGCCCCAAAGAACTGCACTGTTCCTACATCTATTTTAATTTCTGATGACTTAATATTTATTAAGCATGTATGATAGAAATGGTGTTGCTGTTTAAAATATGTGTAATGTGCAGTCATATTTTATTTCTTTCTCAACAATACAAAACATGGCTATATTTTTCATTTACAACCTGGGCATTAAAATCATAAGCACTGATGATCTCTTGTAGGCCAGATGTCCTTAGACACTTGAGTCTGTCAGCGGGTGTAATCAGAGCCAGTGTTTAACCAGTAGTTGCTAAGTATCTGTTGGGACAGACACTTTCCCCTGCTGGGGCCCTAGTTTCTCACTCTAATAGCAGCAGTGTGACTTTTTGTTTGTTTGTTTTATGGCCAGTCTTATAAAATATTATCCAAATCTTATATTTAAGACCGTTTGAAACTTCAACAAAATGCATTAATTTGCATACATAAGCATGGCACTCCAAAGCCAGCTTTTCAGGATAGAAAAATCATGAGGACTAATTCAGAGTTAATTAGGTTCTAAATGTGTGTATCTTATTAACTATCAAGACAATGCAGATGAGTAGTGTCAAGCTTATGATATTTAATAAATTGCTTTCTGGATAATAAATGAATAAGGAAAATAAGCAAAATAGTTCATATTTTATCTCTTCCAGATCTTTAAGCCTGAAAAGCCCCATTCTTTTTATACATTAACAAAAGTGAACATACATGTGCCCTAGCAGCAACTAGACAATTTTTGGATTTAATAGAAGCATTTTTTTCCCACAAGCCTTTTCAGACCGACAATTGGTACTAAGGCACAAAATTATTTTTCTTCCTGGAAATTATGGTTGCTTGATAAATGTGTGTAAGTTTACAACCACAGGTGTTTTTTAGAGTCTAGTTAGTACTTACTGCAGACAGGAACTTTTTTTTTTTTTAAAAGAAGTTCCCACATTGGCCCGAGAGGGAGTATAGTGGTATACTTGCTCAGCACCTAGGGGGCTCTGGATTCCACCTCCACCAAATCCCAATGTTAAAGTCTTTCTAAAGACTGGCTTACATATTTGAAGTAAAAGCTGCATGTCCGGTTACTTCCCTTCAGCTTGTTGTTGTTACAGTCGGGCTTTTAGGTAAATAGGATTGCTAAATATTAAGATGACACACAGTTTCCATTTTGTGGTGGCGGAAGCAACAATGCAGTTGGGTTGTAAAAGTCGCCAGGCAAAGCCACAGGGAGAGATTGGCTGATAAACAAAGCATGGGTTTCCATGTTGAATCTGCCATGCCCTCTACTGGAGGGAGCCTCTGAACACATTCCCGGTGGATTCTCCCAGATTGCAGGTTGAACATTTTTTTCTTTTTCAAACAATATCACACAGATAAAACGAAGATTAAAATGTCTCCTGGCCAAACTCCTGTCTTCTCCTTTAATTAATTGTTGTGAATCAAAATATTCACATATACTAACTCACAAATTAGGAATTTAGAATCAAGATATATTCTTTAAAAAAAGACAGAATTTTCTTCACTTGACAGATGTTTCAGTCACAAATTTGAAAGAGCTCTAGACATGTGACTCACCTTTGTGAAATGATAAGTAAAATTTTTTTTAAACCAGGGATGCAGCAAAGAATGGGATAGGTAATTGAAACAGATAAAAACCTTAGTAATGTTCATATAGTCATAAATGTGACATGGATCTTCTTTTTCTGTTTGATTTTGTGTAACTTTAGTTTGTGAAGTGTTTTATCAGAATGAACACATGACTTCACAAGACTCTGTTCATCACCCTTTTCCTATAATATGACAAGATCCGGAGTGTCAAGGATGAAAGTGGTCTGATGGAGTTTCATTACTCCACAGTGCTGACAGCTGGTGTATTGAATCTTCATTTCACCTGGCTGCCCTGGGTGCCTTGCCATCTCAGCTTGAGTTATCACCTTTTCCTGGCAATCTGTTTCCTCTCTGGCTTTCCTGGTGGTCCTTTTGGCTTCTTCTAAGTACCTATTAGATACATCAGTGATCGTTAGAGACATAAGATTACCTGAAAACACACAAAAAAATCTTTTTTTAATTAAAAAAAAAAAGAGCTGCGTGTGGTAGCTCAGCCTTTGATCCCAGCTCTCAGGAGACAGATACAAGTGAAGCTCCAAGTTCAAGGTCAGCCTAGTCTACAGAGTGAGTTTCTGGATAGCCAGGACTACATAGAGAAACCTGTTTTGAAAAACTAAGAAAAAACAAAAAAGTAAGTAAGAAAGAAAAGAAGCAGAATTAGGTTCACAGCAAAATTGAGAGCAAGGTAGAGAAAATAACTCTTTTGCTTCCTGTCCTGCTCACACAATCGTACCTCCTCCCATTATCCACATACCTCAGCCAGGTGACGCATATGATGAACCTGTATTGACACATTATTACCATCCAGAGTCCTTGGTGGACGTTAGAGCTCATTCTTGTTGGTGTGCATTCTGTGGGCCTCGGCACACATACAGTGTTGACCATTACAGTACTATGCGGAGCACTTTCACGGCACTAATTATCCTCTCTGTCCCTATTGGCCTCTTATCTCTGACACCTTTGGCACCAACTGAGCTTGTTTCTACCATCTCCATAGTTTTGCCTTTTCCAGAATGCCATGTGAGAGTTTGGCATCTAAAGTCTATAGACCTTTTGGATTTGGTTAAGTTTCATTTTTTTATTTTTTTAAAATCACAGAATAATAGTCCCATATTTGAAGTTTCCATGGCCTTTTTTCTCTATTAACCTACTAAAGGATATCTAGGTTGCTTCCAAGTTCTGGCAAACAGGAATAAAGCATGTTCAAGTTATGTGACATATTTTCAAACTCCTTGATTAAATAGCAATGGTTGGATTGCTTAATTATAAGATCATGTTTAGTGTTGTAAGAAATGTACAGCAGCTTATCTCATACTTCATCCCAAATGTCACTTCCTGTAACTCTGCATCTGGGCAGTAGCTGATGTTCTCAGTATCCTACATTTGGGCCATTCTAAAAGGTGCACATAGTTTAATTTAATTAACCAAGTCTTTATGGTTTAATTTACAGCCTCCTAAAAGCATTATGATACGTAATTTCTTTTTGTGAGTATATTTGTCATTTGTCTGTTTTCTTTGGTAAGGTGTCAAAGCTTTTTGGCCAATTTTAAATCAGGTTATTTTCATATTGTTGAATTTTAAGTTTTTATATTTTAAGTAATACTCCTTTATCAAATAAATACATTTGCATATTTTTTCTTGTAAGTCTGAAACTTCTCTTTTTATTTTTTGAAATACTAGTCTTTGTGGTCCCACTGACTCTGGTAGTTCTCAAAAGCGCACGACCAACAGCAATCTCCTTTTTTTTCTTTTTCTTTTCTTTTCTTTTCTTTTTCTTTCTTCCTTCCTTCCTTCCTTCCTTCCTTCCTTCCTTCCTTTCTCTTTGTTTTTTGAGACAGGATTTCTCTGTGGCTTTGGAGGCTGTCCTGGAACTAGCTCTTGTAGACCAGGCTGATCTCGAACTCACAGATCTGCCTGTCTCTGCCTCAGGCATGTGCCACCAATGCCTGGCTCTTTTATTTTTTTTTCTCTCTCTCTTTTATCTTTTGCAGGGCAGTACATTTTAATTTCAGATAAGTCTATTTTTGTATTACCTCATTTTTGCCAAAAGTTAGTTTTTATCTTTAGGAAATGACTTTAGAAATAACATAGATTTCTGTGCCACTAACACTACATTTTCAGACTCACAGTAAGATGCAGAAAATTATATCCATAATTACCACAAGTGCCAAAATTTCAAGCAGAGATTTCTGTAACATGGCAAACAAGACAAGAAAGCAACTATCCAGCAGAAGACACTCAGTCACAGCAAGTCCCAGGAGAGCCCATTAAAGGTGTTGCGGCTTCAGCAAAGGTTTTCTGGCATCTAGGCAGCAACAAGGCAGCCAAGGCTGTTTCTGCACCAGCACTAGAAACAGCCTCTCCTATTGTTGCAGCATCAGCACCGATTCACTTGGTAGCAGTCTCAGTGTCTGTTGACTGCTCTGGTCTGAAGCTCCTTCCAGTCAGCTGCCACACATTCTTCTGGGCATCTGCTGTTATAAGTAAAAGTGACTCTCAAGACCCAAACCATCTTCATTTTCTCTTCCATGCCCTCTACAAGTCTTATAGATTTACGTTTTACATTTAGGTCTGTGATCCATTTTGAGGACTTCTTAAAAATAGAGTTACTTTCTGAAATACTCAATCAAATGTGTTAGCAATGTCCAGCTTTTTATAGAATTAATATTTTCAACCAAATTACCCATTATTTTTCTAGGGCAAATTGGGTACTTGGTAAATGCCATATATTCTCTCTCATCTCCCTCTTCCTCTCTTCTTCCTTCCAAACCTTCCTCCTTCTCTCCCTCCCTCCCATCTCTCCCTCCCTCCCCCTCCCTCTCTCCCCCACTCCCTCTCTCCCTCTCCTGTGTGTCAGCTTTGTGTTTGAGATAGGGTCTTACTGTATTCTAGCAAGTCTATATATAAACTTACTGTGCACATCAGGATGGCCTGAAACTTCTGCCATTCTTCCTGCCTCAGTTCCCCAAATGGTGGGATTACAGGCGCTTGCCATCATACAGGGCAGCATTTCTTTTTCTCAACACAGTTTAGCAAGAGCTCTGAGTCTCTGCCTCTCCTCTATCTGCACCCTGTCACGTTGTACTGAGGCTTTCTCTTTTGGGGCCTTTTGGTGCATGAACTCTTGCATCTCCTCCAGTGACTATTTTATAGGGTACATTTGATTTAATTTCTTTAAGAGTTTTAAGAGAAATTTGAAAGTAAGCCAGCTGAAGATACCTTAGAAACCTTGGCAGTCGTCATCTGGATAAGCTGTATTTAATTGAGCAGTGTCAGTCGGTGTCATAGAAACTTCTTTGGATTCATCTTCCTGGGAGGGGGAGGGCAGTTTCTGACACATTCATTATATTCGATTTCAAGCTTTCACTAACCATGCTGTTCTTCATGAACTACAGATGGATTGATTTTCCATATATATCAAATGGCTGCAATCTTAAGGAAGAAAGGACTCATTATGCCCACTCTTCTGGGACATAGTCCACTGTGGCAGGAAGGAAGTCAAGATGGAAGGAGGAGTTTGAAGCATCTGGTCACAGCACATCTGTAATCAAGAAGCAGAAGACAGGGTGATGAATATGTTTGCTTAACTCCCTTTCTGCACTGTATACAGTTCAGTGTTCCTGCAAAGGGAATGGTTTCACCCACGGTAGAGACCAGTCTTCTAACTTTGGTTAATGTAGCTAAGACCATCCCTTGTAGGCATGCCCAGAGGCCTATGTCTCAAGTAATTGCAGATTCTGTCAGGTTCCAACAGAAACCATGACAGGTACCCATGAGCTCGATCAGACTTCATCATTTAGATTTTGTTATGTATGCCCTATTTTTTTAATTAAACTTTTTCTGAATTAAAAAGTTTTCTCACTTCATCTACTTTCTAACATCAAATCAGAAAGTTTTGTACTTAACCGGAAATAAAATTTCCTGCTCTTTGAAGATGGGAATTTTCATGTAAAGCATCCTTCTTGGTGATGCTCAAGCTGCTCTTCCTTTTCCTGAAGGGTTTTGAAAGCCATTTTGTTTGTACGTGCTTGAAATTGTGTTCTTTTGATGTGTCTTCTAATGACAAGCCGTTCCAGTAATGTCAGGTTCAACTTGTTCTGAATGTTTGGATTTCTTCTTGTTAATTACACTGTAAAACTGCATCAATCTGGCTTCGAGCTGGAGATCTTCCACTCCTTATCAATGCCCTCCAGGTTTTCTCTTTCCAGTGATGTGTTCATCAACTTGACTTCCATTGAAACTGATTCAAGTCCTTCAAATTCTTTTTGCAAGATTAAACAGTTTAGAAGCTTGGTGTATTTCCTCTACTTAGACAGGCAGAAGTTTCAGGGCAGTCAAACACATGCCACGCAAGTGTTACATCCCCAGAACCCAGGCTCTAATTTTTTGCATAAGGTGGTTTTTAAAATATTAAAATGCTGACCACGGCTATAAACAAAGCTAGTCCATGGAGATCTATACATACTTTCAGGTCCCCTGGTGGGGTGGCCACTGTCTTTAGATCTGTGGGATTCAGAACATCACAGCAGATCACATCTATCTTCTAGACTATTATATGTCATTTTAGGTTTTCAGGACTTTGATGGCTGCATAATCCAGCAGAGAACCCCAGTGAACATTCTTACTGGAACCAAACTAATAATGCCTAGTAACCATGGTAGGCATAGGAATAAATTATTGGCTAACTCTTGTCTTTCTGTAAGTTATCCATCTCTGTTTCTCATTTTACCCACAGAAGCACAGAATAGTTCCTATTCTCAGATCTTGTTAATTTCTAGCTACCCTTGACATAACCTAAGCAAGGCTGGGGACAAATGGGGAAGGATTAGGAAGAACCCTAAACAAGTTTTCAAGTTACTTTTCCAATTTCTTGTTTCAAAACAAAAGATACAGTAAGTATAATTTCAAGTTTATTTCACAGTGGTAAGTCCAAACCTGAGTTCGTGCACACACAAAAGCAGTTGTGCTCATTCTGTATGACCTGCCAATGAGTTACTTGTCCAGACTGCAGACTGATGTTTGGATTGAAGGAGAACAAGTATTCTATGACTTTGAGTACGTGTGCAAGTGGTAATGGTAATGAGGAGTTAAACACCTCGCAGAGCTGAGTACAAGATGGTCAGGAGAATTTCCCCATAAATGTCTCAGATCTCAGTCGAGGAGTCTTTGTGGGACATGGCTCTTTCCTGGCCTTTTTTTGCAGCGTGCATTTGTTTGTCCCATAAACATTGACATTACTGAGATGCATATGTTCCTCTCCATTTGCCCTGCATCTGTTCTCATTGTTTATACCCGTTAATCCCTTGCTGAGCTCTTGGCTCATCTCAGAAGCACACAGCTAATTGTTGTAGCTTGGTCTATCTATCCTTCAATGTATCTTATTTGTTTGTTTGTTTGTTTGTTTGTTTTTTTGGTTTTTCGAGACAGGGTTTCTCTGTAGCTTTGGAGGCTGTCCTGGAACTCACTTTGTAGACCAGGTTGGCCTTGAACTCACAGAGATCCGCCTGCCTCTGCCTCCCGAGTGCTGGGATTAAAGGCGTCCGCCACCAACACCCGGCTGTTTTTTCTTATGTTCTAAACTACTTCTCCAAGTGATACTATCATCTACAGTTTCTCAGAAAGATGTGGGAGGTAAATCATAGCCACCATTGGCCTATTTTTTTCCAAATCTGTATTGAGTCTATCCTGCTGGTTAGTTTTACTTTCCTTCTTAAAATATGATTGCTTCCTTCTTCCTACCCCCAGTCTTACTTTAGAATTATCTCTGTTTCTCACTTATCAATGGAAGTAAGGCTCCTGGTCTTCTCACTCTACTGTCAAGGGTGATATACATTAACTGAAGCTATACTTCTTACCTAGATAATTTCAGAATAAGTAAACTATTGTATTAACACGACTTGTTTCTTAAACTTTTATGAAATTTCCATTTTGGACCATCACATAATAGGCTGTTTCTGTCAAGTAAATGGATGGAGGCCTAATCAATATTAAGGATGCTAAAACAGTCCCCAGTAACTTTGTCTTTTCTAGTTATAAAAAACTTTCCTTCATTGCTCTACATTAGAGTTCTGTTCTTATACAAATACTAGTGGATTTAGGTGAAAAGTTTATATTATAATGATTATAATACATGAAATTATTAATTTTGATAGGATCCTGAGATTCAAGAAGATGGCAACAAATTTGAAATATAGTCAATTGGATTGTGCTTGAAACTAAAACACAAGCATCTGGGTTTCCTTTAAGTCACATTTTGAGTCTATATATTTACTTTGTTGCCTCTGCTTTGCCCTCCATTGAAAAAAACTGAAAATGGAATATAATAATAATAGTAGAAATAAAAAATGGAAATTGTTTTAAAACTATTGGGAAGGAGGGAAGATAGACCCTCTTAGTCTCTATGTGATTACAGAACTCCTGGAATATGAAAGAGAGTTATAGGACCAAGAGGAAGCAAAACTGTGCTGATGATACATGGGTGTGAAATCCATACAGAGCCTTCTTAGATGTAAGTGGCTAGTTTCTCCAGTGGGCCCAGAAAATGCGTGGATTTTGGAGAACAGCATTTTAAACATAGACATCCTGGAAGGCAGGAAGTAAGGGTTAAATTATTTCAGAAGTTGAGGTAGTGGCACAGGTAGTATTTTTTGAGTTATTTGAGAATTTTGTGCAATGCATTTTGATCATATTCACCCTCTCCTACCCACCTTACTTCCCTTGACAGCTTTGCATGCTTTTTTATTTTTCCACTCACCAAGTCCAATTTGTGCTTCCCCTATAGTCTTGGATGTTTGGCCATCCACTGGAGTGTGGTAGACTTACCAAGGCCTAAGCTCATACAGGAAACCAACCCTCTTTCAACTGCTGATAGCTCCTAAGTTTAGGTTGGGATTTGGTCAAGCTGGAGATAATGCCAGTCTTGTGTATGATATTGTAACTGCTATGAATTCATAAGCACTACTGTCCTGTTTTGTCCAGAAGACACTATTTCTTTGTAATCATCAAATGCCTATGGCTATTACACTTTCTACCCACTATTCCACTAAGATTCTTGAGGCCTGGGAGGATGGGATATGATGTAGATAACCTATTTAGTGTTGAGCATCCCACAGTCTCTTACTCTCTGCAACTAGACCCTTGTTGTGTATCTGTGTTAGTCATTACTTACTGCAAATAGATGCTTCCTTGGCACCAACAACTTGTGACTGGACTGGACTAAAGAAGAATCTATTACTTTACTAAATGGAGGTACTGTTACTCTAACTCTTAGTGACGCATTGTTATGCCCGCTGACTAATGCAGTTCTCAACTCTCACCAGGGCAATTTCTTTTAGGTTTGACCTTACATGGACAGTGTGATAAATGATCTTATAAGTCAAAGAGAAAATAAATATGAAAGGTAAAGGCTACTTCGAAACTACAAATCAGATATCACACATGATCTTTTGAGATGGGTCAAAGTCATATATAGAAAATAATTCAATGAAAATTCTAAGTTTTCAGGAAAAGAAAGATTGAAAATAAATCAGTGAAGATGTTTGATGCTTAATGGTTTGGGAAGGGATTGAATTAAGGATTATGAAGTTGAGTCAGAGCTGAACAAAGAGCATGGCTGTTAATGAATGCTGCCATCAGGGTTCAGTGGGTTGTTTAGATGAGCTGTATCAAGCTGTTAAGGGTCAAATGATTCCCACATTGCTGCAAAGCACAGAGTGGGATTCTCAAAAACTGCTTGAAGTCAACAGTCTGGAAAAGAAAACACCCAAAAGTAAACCAAAGATGAATTCCAATTATAAAGCTGTAGAGATGTTAAAATTCTTTCAAATGGGTTCCACCAGAAATATATTGTAAAGTGAGTATAAATATTTTTATAGTGGCATATAAAATTCTTGCTTTCTATTGGTGCTAAAAGGAACTCAATTTAGCTTATGAAAAGAAGTGAATGATACTGTGCTATAATTTACAGATAAAGTGGTTGATATATTCACCTAGCTTTTTTCTTAGTAGCGCCTGTAGCTGTGGGATGGAATGTGTGGATGTAACACTTGTCCCACACAGAGGACGAGGAATGAGTCTGAGTCAGGTGAATGCTAACAGCATCCTCAATTACCCGGCCCCTCTTTCCCCCCACTGCCCTAGTTATTTCTGCTTCTTAATGCCTTGAATTGGTCACCTGTGTGGCTGTCCTATTTTACTTTGTGCTGTAATTATTCACCTTTGTCACCACCTAGGACAAACTTTTCTATAAAACAGTCGCCAGAAAAAAAATACTTACTGGATGAATCTAATCAAAGAAGCTCTGTTACACTGAGAAGGTCACTTGGGAGACAAGGATTTGGTTTCAAGGCCAGGCTACTAATGATTAACCACTTCCTGTCAAGGTGCTCCCTCCCTCTTCATCTAAGACTTCCCCTTGGGAGTCTCCCAGACACCCACACTATCCAGCATTCAGAATGAGCTCATTGTACTGTGTTTTCCCACAAACCTATGCTTCCCTCTTGGGCAGGTGTCACGCTGCTGTTTCCTCTGTGAGCCGGTGGG